CGCTCATTCTGGGAGCTAAGGAAATGCTTATCTCCCTGAGCGTGGCCTTCACCATGCCATTCCATCACAAGGAGAGAATTTAGCATGCCCGGTTTTTAGTGAAGAGCAACAGCAGTTCTGTGGAAACATCTCCCTAATGTTCTACAGCTGACAGCTTCCCATGCTTTCATTCAATCCCAAGGGAAGACACTCCTCCACCGGGGCTTTACGAATTGAGACGGGCAATCAGCAAGGGAGGATGAGGATGCAGAGAGATGAAAAAGTCCAGGAGTTTCCAGGATGTCTTCCTCTGAACAGAAGCATGGGAAGCTAGATGAGCTGCAGAGGGCTGAAGGGAGGAGTCTATGAGACACCATTACTGGGCTCAGACAGACCTTGTCTACCTCACAAACCAAGAGTGGCTTCCACTCTCAGGGCCTTCAGGAAGTTTGCAAAAATTCCATTTTTCCAGAAGACCTCTGGAACTTAACTGATGGAGTTTCTGAAGCCAGACGTGTAATTCTCAATTATAATAATGTAATTTTCGCTTCATTGCATTTCTGTGTATTGATCATTTGCATTGGCTTTTCGCTGTTGCTGCTCTGTACCAGCTAGCCTTTTAAGATAGGAGCCATATATATGTGAGATAGATACAGGTAATCCATGCTGAACAATAGTAATTGGGACCGGCAACTCTGTTGCTAAACGACACGGTTGTAAAGTTTTGCTTGTCGGAAGCTGGCAGTGAAGGTCGCAAATGGTGATCATGTGACCGTGGGATGCTGAGGCCATCGTAATCGCAAGCTGGTTGCCAAGTGCCCAAATTGCAATCATGTGATTGTGGGGATGCTGTGACAGCCACAACTATGAGGAACGGTCATAAGTCCCCTCAGTTAGCACCATTCTAAGTTTGAACGGTCACTGAACGAGTGGATGTTAAGCAAGGACTACCGGTAGGTAGGTAGGTAGGTAGACAGACAGACAGACAGACAGACAGACAGACAGACAGACAGACAGACAGACACGCCTACATAAACTCCTGCCATGGAGCTTTTTCAGACAGGAAAACGTGAGCAACTTCACAGTAAAGGCATGATGCTTCACATAATGCAGCCCCAGCCTCAGTGATTCCCTCTATCAGCCCTAACAATAAAATTCAGCTCCCTCACACCATCAGAAGAAATTGGAACGAGGCAGAGAAACATCAGCCTCTTTTGCGGGGACGGAAAGACATCAGAAATTGCAGATTTGGGCCCAGATGAAAGGAGAAGATAGGAATTCTGCAGCCCCATGATGCAGCTCGGAAGCCGAAATGAGGTTGAAAGGCATAAAAATGCACTCTGCCTCAGCGTAGGTTCACATTTTAAACGTTATTGACTAGTAAAGTAAAAGGAGTGGAAAGAAATGTGCTGTGTTTACTCCCTGTCTAAATCCTAGGATTAATCTGGAGGCCCAGAAACCAGCTGGACAGTTCAAAGCCTTGACAGGTTCTCTGTATCATTTAATGTCATATATACAAATCACAAATACTGAGAGGCAGTTCATGGACACCGAAGGCTTCCGAGGGTGCAGGGAGGGTTGTAGACACAATTGTGCCTCGGTCCCCTATAAGCAAATCCTTAATGCCCTGCCTTTGATCTTCTGAGCTGCTTGGAAGCAATTGGCAATGGTAATGCCATCTTCATCCAACTCATTTTCTTTCCGTTCCTCCTCCCTCTCTCTGGACCCCTCACAAAGGTCACTCTTTTGTCCTCCCCATGGTGCAAGTTAATCCTGCTTTCCTCTTTCCCACATTCACTTCATCTAGGTCCACCCGACCATTAACCTGATTTCTGGATCAGAAGCTCAACAAAACAGGTTCACCCAACATGCAAACCCAGCAAACCAAACCAAACCAGACCCCCCACAAAAGAAATGAAGCCCTCCCACCCAGGGGAAAAGAAGCGTGTTTTGCATGTTGTACGAATCCACACAGCATCTTGGACAGACCTGACTGCCCGAGTTGTGGGAATGGAGCCAGAATTAACTTGGGAAATTAAGCCAAGCTCAGAGAGCACCAAGGACTCCACAGTTCAACCCTGAGCTACAGATATTCTCTTCTACAGGTAGTCTTCGCTTAATGACCACAATAGGGACCAGAAAATTGGTTGTTAAGTGAATCAGACCTGATTTTATGACCTTTTTTGCAGCAGTTGTTAAGTGAATCACCATGATCATTAAG